CTCACGCGCTGGGAAAGTCTACTCACTGGAAGGCTGGCGGGGCCAGTGCTTACCCGAAGCTGTCCCAGCTCTTCCAAAACCTGTCCGTCTCTCTGCCTTGCTACTTCACTGGGACTGATCACTGGGACTGCTGTTCTGTCTCCCTCGTCCTGTTTTTAATCTCTGGCACTCAGCATGGTATTTGGCACAAGGCAGGTACCCAATGAATGTTGGATTAATGACCAAAGTCCCCCTGACTCTAGGATTGAACTGAAGGAACATTAGCATTACTTACTCACTTCTGGAGATGTTTAGGATTAGAAGGGTGACAGACACAGACTGTTTCCTTAAAATACAGTAATTCACATCTTCATCCTAAGAAAGGAAGACCCAATTGTACATCACAGTATTCATTCACACGGGAACAGGAACAAAAAGTTTTCAGGAACAAGCCAAGTAAGCGGCCCAACCTCCATCCCAAACAATACAACTGCGGACGCGCAGATTCCTGGAAGTCAAGCAGCCACCACCTCAAGAAAACAGCGTGACAGAAGCAGGTGTTCTCACCCAGTGTCTTGGGCTCAGGTGAAGGGAGTGGACAGGTCATGCACGTAATGCTCACCAGATAAGAAGAAAATCCGTCGTTCTTTGTACGGTCGAGGCTGAAGCCAATCTAGGTGAGGGGCAGAAAGAGTAAACGTAAATGCCCACGTGACCGCCAGACCTTTCCTGTTCGAAGCACGCACAAGGCTCTTTAGGCCTGGCCTCCTCTTGGTTTTCTTGGCATTCATTTTACAAGAAGGATCACTAATTACTAAAATTATTCAAGAATTACAACTTAAGTGTTAAAAGTAGCAGCATCTGACGTCTGCTCACAAGTTAATTTTCTCCATATTCCAATACTTTGCATTTAGTATGGGGCAAAGCTCTCACCTAAGCAACAGTGAAGGGTAAATAAAGCCCCTGAGCTCCTGGGAAGGCACCTACCGTCGGGTCCTTGTCTGTGGCTCCTCCGGGGTCACTCACTGAAAGGCTACTGACGTTAACCACCATGTACCCGTCCTTGAAGAATCCAAAGGTGTTCAGATGAACCTTATGCCTCACGTCATCCTACGACGACAGTGGTGGAATTAGTAACACGGAGACATTAACTCGATTATTTAACCTATTTGTCTTGCTTGAAAATTACAGTGTTTAGTTCCCGCTAGCTAACCAGTGTCGCCATACATAACGCAAAATATACGCCGTGGTACTTTATCTTATTCCAAAAGCTCAAGACACTCATCAGAAATTCCTAACATACTAAGTTTTGCAGAAGGAAGCAGACAGCATATGCGATTCATTCAGATGCATCTGTAACCGCCCGGGGGTGGGGGAGACTTGGCGGTCGGCTGGAATGTGAATTCCAGGGTAGTCACCCTCACATCCTTCCTGCTGGTACAAGGCCTGGCATCCAGCAGGCACTCGAAAACCTGCGGGGGTCGGGGGAGTGGCCAAACCTGCTCCGAGAACACTCCTTCGCATAGACCTTCGAGGTGTGTGTACCTGGCTCCTCCCAGCACGGGGTGAGGGATACCTGCACATCACTTCTCACACCTATAATTCCATTTTTTTCACAGGTTCGTTTGCATTTACAAATGTCGTTATATATGATGGGTTTTCAGGAAACAAAGCCTTATGCAAAAGGAACCTCAAGAACTAGCCAAGGGGAGACAGGATCTTTCGGACACAGGATGATCCTGAGGTTCGCTAATGCTGCATCATGTGGGTGAACGTCGACTGCACCTGCTTGAAACTGTCTCAAAGTGGCGATTCCAATCCTAACTAAGTTAGTACAGTTTAAGGCTGATAAAGACTAACTGGAACTTTAAACATAATCATCAGCTGGGAGGGTCTACGGATAGGGCTTGTGGAACTTCCCGTGCTCCGGTAATAGTGAGAACCCTACAGAAGGAACACTATGTCTATAATAAAGCGCTACGGTTCTAACATCCCCTTCCCTCAACTTCCTTTTCCCTTGCGTAAATAAACACCCGTCCATCTTGGCACACAGGCCCAAGTGTGCACGTGGCTTGCAAACCTTGCTTTTTTCTGCATAAATCCTTCTGAGTGACGAAATACCTTGTCGATATTATTTTTCAGTTGACAAGGCCAAGAGAACAATGGTATTAGCGAACAGTTCTAACACTGAGGCTCCACAAAGAAGGTCATAAGTTTCACAATGAGAATTACTTGCTTAATCGGACCGCCCTCAGTCAGTCTGCAGTAAGCTAACTCTCTAAGTAGCTTCTAAACGCCAGGCACTGTGCAAAATAAGCACCTGCATTTGGCTCTTCCTCATATAGTAATTTCTACTAGCGTTTGTTTCTTGCTCATATTTTTAAATTCCATCTTTTGTTCCTTTCAATTTTAAATACAGCTATTTTTACAACATATTGAGGTGCTCTGGGGTCTAATTCTGTTCTCTGTTTTCACTGCTGATGTTCACAGCAGATAGATTCTTTGTGTGAGTGGTAACTTTTCACTTCTAGACTGGGACCTCCCGGGCATCAGAGGTGGTCTAACGGCAAACACCAAAGGCCCAGGAGGAGAGGCTGTGCATCAGATCTTCGGCAGAAAAATCATCAACTGCAGCCCCCTCCCCACATCACACACATAGAGCTCACACGCACATCTTACTGCCATTAGCGAATACCACATTACAGGCTGAAGGAGGGGCACAGTCCCAGTCGCCTCCCGCCTAGGTGTAAGGCTTTCGCACCTGCCGCCCTCACCAACTGTTCAAATCCATGACTCCAGTTTCTGCAATGCCCCAGGGCAGTCCTGGCTCGTGTTCTTCCACACGCTGGGGGTTTCTCCCCGACAACCTTTTTTTGTCCGCCCCTGGGAATGTCCTTTATTTTCCCACGAGCCCAGCTGTACATTTAAAGCCCACTGGCCAGACTTCTACTTCCTGGTGGGACGAGTAGCTCGCAGCAAGCCAGCAAGCCGGCACCAACAGGAGGACTAGCAAAGCCAGATAAGATAATAGAAGTCATAGGATGGAAGGCATCAGAGAGCTGCTAGACCATAAAAACCAGAAAAGCCTTTCTTAATGATTGTAAGAGAGATTAACCCCTACAGAGAATGATTTGAGTGACCATTTTCTCAACTCCCCTAAAGGTGTTATAAGGCTACTACCATCCTAGATGCACAGGAGAGAAATTAATTCAGCTACATGTGATGGGTGCCTTAGGGCATGTGAAATAATACAAAGGGAGCCACTTAAAAATGGAGTCAGAGCTGCCATCCCAGAGGAACTGCCTTGCAGGCCTTACTCCTCAAACGTCTGGAATGTTAAAACGGGGCAAATCAACCTTTAGACTGGACCTAAAGCAACACTTTGCAAAACAAATGTTTGCAAAGATAGTAAGAAAGAAAGCAGATATCAGGACTACCGGACTAAAGACTAAAAATTTTCTTTGGAATTACCATCGCTATGTTGGCTTACCTGCACCCAAAGAAATGCCTTCCTTTTGTTGATGGAATTGTTCCCCTTTCTTTTGTCAAAAACCTCTTGCCTTCCCCTCCTAATCAAAACACTATGTGGGGTTCTGTCTGTGTCAGTGCTTCCTAAATAGCTGTTCTTTTGGATCTCAAATGAATGCTTGCTGCCTCTCACTCCAGCCTTTATTTTTAGGTTAAAAGACATTAGGGCTTAATTCTCCGGCAGCATCTGCAGATGAACAGGGCTGCAGAGACATAAAAGAAAATGAACGGATTCCTGCCCCATGCAACAATGTGGATGAATCTCACACACATAATATACCAAACAAAGCAAGCCATATCCAACATAGGTATAACAAATATGAACGCGGAGGAAATAACCTGTGGTGACAGAGGTCAGCATGGTGATTGTTCTCAGGAGGGACAGGCTGTTCAGTCACTTAGGGAGAAGGGCCTTAAAGAGCTTCCGGAAGTTCTTGGTAACGATGTTTGTTGCTGGTTGCACAAGTGTGTTTACGCAGTGAAAATTCATTGAGTTGTATGCTCATGGTATTTTTAGCATGTATATTATACCTCAGTGAAGTTCACATTTGAAAAGTATTCTTGTTCTAATTCATCCAGCTTTTAGATGCTGTGTAGTAAAATGGAAGCTCGTTAAGCAATTTTTATACTCATGTAGTTGACCACAATGAGTATTTTCTAGGTTTTGGGGAAATGTCGATTGCAAATTTACAACCATTCTTTTTCTCCTTATGAGGAGTACATTCCTTCATTGTTTTTTCTTTTACATATCATTTCACTTAGTGATTCAATGCCATTCAAAGCACGCTTTTGAAGTGTTTTTGAACAGTCAGGAGTGTCACAACTCCGCGTTTTCAGCCTCACCAAGAACTGGGTTATGTGCCAAGCCCTCTCCTCTGATATCGAATCCTCACTCAGCCCGGCGTGGTTAAGAGTAGTAATCCCATGAAAGGGATGAAGACAAAGGTCAGCGGTGGAATGACTTCACAGACCATGCGGACTACAAGTGGTAAGCAAGGGTTTCAACACAGATCTGGTGTGAAAGCCATTTTCGCACAACTGTCCCCTAATGTGGGAAAATGATCACGATGTAATAGTAAATGCAAGGGGGATAAACTAGATGAAATGGACAAATTCATAGAAACATGCACCCTGTAAGAATGAATCAAGAAGAAATGAAACATCTGAACAGACCAATAATGCGCAAGGAGACCGAATCGGGAATCGAACTGCTAAGGAAAAATGAACGCCAACGCTTCTCAAACTCTTCCAAAAAAGTGAAAAGGAGGGAACACTTGCAAATTCACTTTATAAGGCCAGCATTATCCTGATACTAAAGCTAGGTAAAGATACTACAAGAAAATTATAGGCCAATATCTCTGATGAACAAAGATGCAAAAATGCTGAACAAAATACTAGCAAATTGAATTCGACAACACATTAAAAGGATCAAATTTATCTCTGGGATGCAAGGATGGTTCAACAAACACAAATCAATAAATGTGATACAGCACATTAACAAGATGAAGGGGAAAATCCTATAATCTCAATAAATGCAGGAAAATCATTTGACAACATATATCCTTTCGTGATAAAGACTCGACAATACAGGTGCAGTAGGAATGTAGCTCGGCATAACACAGCCATGCAGGGCAAGCTCCCAGCTAACATCGCACTCAACAGTGAAAAGCTGAAAGATGCTCCTCCAAGACCAGGAACAAGGCGAGATGCCTCATCATCACTCCCAACCAAGGCAGTGCTGGAGTAATTACACGAGAAATAAGAGGCATCCAAATCGGAAAGAAAAAAGTAAAATTGTCTCCATTTGTAGATGTCATGATCTTACATATAGAAAACACTAAGGACGCTACCAAAAAAAAAGTTACAATAAATTCAGTAAAGTTGCAGAATACGTTTCTATATACTAACGAAATATCTGAAAGAGAAATAAAGAAAACAATCTCAATTACAAAAACATCAAAAACAATAAGATACTTAGGAATAAATTTAGTTAAAGAGGTAAAAGATCTATACACTGAAAACTATAAAAACACTGATGAAAGAAACTGAAGATACAAATAAATGGAAAGATAATTTGTTCATGGATTAGAAGAATTAATGTTGTTAAAATGTCTATACTGTCCAAAGCAATCTACAGATTTAATGCAATCCCTATAAATTCCACAGCATTTTCCTCAGAAATAGAAAAAAAAAATCCTAAATTCATATGGAAACACAAAGGACCCCAAATAGCTAAAGCAATCTTGAGAAAGAACAACAAAGCTGGAGGCATCACATTGCCTGATTTAAAAATATTTTACAAAACTACAGTAATCAAAACAGTACGGTACTGGTGTAAAAACAGACATGTAGACCAATGGGACAGTATAGAGCCCAGAAATAAATCCACCCATTTACGGTCAACTGATCTTCAAAAACAGTGCCGAGAACAAACAATGGGAAGGGACGGGCTCTTCGATAAATGGTGTTAGGTAAGTGGATATCCAAATGCATTAGAATGAAATTGGACTCTTACCTTACACCATATACAAAAATCAACTCGAAAAACGTAAAGATTAAAGATTTAAACGTAAGCTCAGAAA